ATTAATTATTAATTATATATTAATAAAATCTCTAGATTTTCAGCTTTATTTTGATATATTTTTTATTAATTTCTATGTAGTAGTTTTTGAGTAATGAATAAATAAAAAATTCCAAAAAGTTTTGTTATACACTATATATAATCTTATTTAATACTTTTTAATAAATGTTTCAATAAGTTCATTAATTAATACAAACTATCAAATCTAGAGATCAAATAATTAAGTAGGATATGATTTTTAAATTTCTTTTATATTGGTATGTTTTCAACTTCAATGATTAAATAAATATAATAAATAGTTGTTTGATTATAAAAAAAAATAATATTGTTTATCTCTATATTATTTAAAATAAGAAAGTTTAAATTAATAAATATAAACAAATTGTTTATATATATTTTTTAAAGATAAATTAATTATAATCAATAGAATTTTAAATAATTTAAATATGAAATTTGCAGTTAGATTATTATTTTGAAGTTCTATATATAAATTTGATATAAATAGTATTTTGTTGAAAGATAGTACAAATAATATAATAAAAGTTATTTGTTAATTAATATTTTAAGCTAATATATTTTTGTAAAAAAATCATTGTTTTTTAAATTAAGTTTTTATTAATTTAAATTTTGTTTTAAAAAATATATTTAAAGTAATTTTAGTTTTTAGCTATAATATTTTGAAAATTTTTTATTTTACTATTAGTTGTTTTTGTAAAAATTTTTTGAAATAAATTTTTAAAATTCAATAATTTATTCAAAAGTTAAAAAAGTTTTTTTTAAGATTATAATTTGTATAAAGATTTTTTTTTTTATCAAAAACAATAAATTCTACTTGAAATATTGACAAGTTTAAAAAGTTTGATTTGATAAGGTTTGTAATAAAAATAAGTTATTTGATATTAATATTTTATAAAATTTTATAAAACTAATTTTTTTGTTTTGATTTTGATAAATTATAAACATAAATATTTTATTTTTACAATTAAAATAATATTTAATAAAAGATTATTATTGATTGAATTTGATCTTGTTGGTTTATAACAAATATTATTATCTAATATTGTAATTAAATTTTGTTTTATTATAATTATTTAAATATATTGTTTTAAAAAACAAATTTTTATTTTTTGAAAAATTATAAAAAGTTTCATTCAAATCTTGATACAATATTTTATTTTAAAACTATATATACTGTATATACAGTATTTTTATAAATTTAATTTTAAAAGTTATATTATATATAAAAAATCTTTTTTAAATAATAAACAATATATTTTTTAATTAAATGATATTGAATTAAACATAATTAGAATGAAAAATAGAATAAAATTATTTAATTGGATAAATAATAATTTATTTTATTCAAATTTAATAAATATATAAAAGTATAAAGAAAAACAAAAAAAAAATCTATACTATAATAAAAATTGTATTAAATCAATAGTTAAATTTAATATTTTATTTTGAATTTGTTTTAGTTAAAACAGGATTAATAATAAATAAAAATGGAAATTTTAATATATATATTAATATTTTTATAAATAATTTAATATCATATATTTACAATATAATATTTTAGCAAATTTAATATTATGTTATATATTATTTTATACACTGTAAATTAATAATAACAATATATAATATTTTTGTTTTAGACTGGATTTTACAAAGTTTAAACTTGAATCCAATTAAATACTTGTAAAATTATCTTAATCATCAGGTTTAAAAAAACAGTCTTTATCTAAATCAAAGAATGGACAAATATTCCTATAGAAATTTTATGCTATTTAATTTTAAATATTTCAAAATGTATTATAAATATTATTAAAGTTAAAGGTGGATATATTAAATATTGGTTTTTTTATCTTCAAGATTCTTTTTATTAAAAATAGAATGCATTTTTTTGATACTATAAACATTTTTTTTGTTATTAAATTAAAAAAAAAATTCTTTATTTTAATTTTAAAAATCATTATTTTTTTTGTTATTACGTAATAGTACAGCATTTTGTTCATTAAATTAGATTTTCTCTCGATCATGTGAAATGTACCATGTACATATAAATAAGTACACACTTCGTAACACAAGTTTTTTATAATGTTGTGCGTTCGTTCAATCGGCTTTACATTACGATTCCATACTAATAAATGTCACACATTTCGTGATAGTATCATATTTTGGGATTGTAATTATAAGATTCAGTCATCAAGCGTTTATCGCACATCGCGTTTGCTTTCTATCAGTGGCGTGAAAAATGACTCGAATCAGATTACCATAGAGGATACAGAAGTGAGGTCGTTGGTAGATGTCAATAAATCCCGGTCACGAACATTATGGACTAAACAGGAGGTACAAAAATTATTTGAGGCGGTTGAAAAACATGGAGAAAAATGGACGTATATTGCTAAAAGTTATTTTCAATCGAGACAACCTGGTTCGTTAGAACGAAAATTCCGGTGGGCGAAATCTAGATTAGAAAAAGATTTTTACTATGATGCATGGACACCTGAAGAGGATGAAAAGTTAAAAGAGGGAGTTGCTGAACATGGAGTTGGAAATTGGGCCAAAATATCCGAATTTTTACCAACAAAAAATAATGTACAAATTTGCAATAGATGGAGTGTCATCTCCAAATCAAAGAGAGGAAAGTGGACGAGAGATGAGCACGAATTGCTTGTCGACCTAATTAAACAGAATGGTGAAAACTGGGAAGTCATTTCTAACATATTGAATCGACCAACGCGTTACATTTATTATTATCATCATCACACTGTTATTAATGCGAAATGGACGTCAGATGACAAAAGGAGGCTTTACCATGCAATCGAAAAACACGGGGAGAATTGGGATGAGATAATGAAGTTATTTCCTGACAGAACTTTACTCAATGTAAAAGATTATTTTCGTCGAGTTCCTTCTTGTAATCCTAAGCTAAATTCTGGGCGTTGGAACGTAGAAGAAAAATCAGCATTCGAAGAAGCGATTAACAAATATGGAAAAAAGTGGAAAATGGTTGCAAGTTTTGTCGGAAGTAGAAGTTCGATTCAGTGTTCAAATTTTTGGAATGCTCGTTTTAAAAAATTGAAATCGAGTTAAAATAGTGAAATAACTATTTATGGATATGTCATAGATTTTATAAATTTTGCGTTTCTAAAAGTTAGTAAATATTGATGAATCATGAAATATGCAATAGCTAGAAAATATATTATTAGTAATGAAAAATCGCACACAATAACATACGATATAACCAGATCGGAAAAGTGTTTGTTCTGTTCAAAAAAAATTATTGTAGGTCTGTGCAGTCATTAGAGTATTTTGCAAAGTCTAATAAACCAGTGTTTAAAAAATATCGATAAATGAATATGTACAGTATATACAATAATTGATATTAATATTTTTTTACATTAAATATTTTAACGAAAATACTGATACGTATTTTATCAAGTTTCGCAGTTAGATTGCCCGAACGTTCTATTGTTGTGAGTAAAATAAGAGAGAGGATATGACGTGATGATGCATTATGTAACAATGGTGGTAATGTAAGAGGTGTTCAAGGAATATAAAGAGAAGTAGCATTTGATGGTTTTCAAAAGTTAACATTAATACTTGACTCAATGTATTGGTTTGGGATTTGATTTAAATTTCATAAACTTTAAATTCCAAGTGAATAATTATAACATATAATGACAAAAAAATATATTTTGGTTTTCTAAGAATGTTGTCAAGAAAAAGATATAAATCTTGATAACAGTAAAGACTATGTGAATATATTGAACACAATTTTTTATCCATATTAGGTTTGAATTTAATTCAATGGTTAAAATATTGTAATTATTTAATGGAGTTTATTATATCAATAAATTCGATCAAATACTTAGCAGATGTGATTTTAAAATATTATACAACTTATTAAAAGAAATATTATTAACAGAAGATTATAATAAATTAAAATATTTTTTTATTTTTAAAAATTATAAAAAACACCTGAAGCAAATCTTGAAATTAAAAATAAAATTATTATTATTTATCTATTTAAAAAATGAAATATCTACTTTATTTTTTTTACATGTACTGTATATATTTATCTGTAATGATATTTGATTTGCAAAAAAAAAAAAAACGAATAAATATTACTTCACAAGTTTATATTTGCTTAATTTGAATTTAACGCTGTATATTATATAACTCTGTACATATTGCAACAAATATTAAAAGATAATATAATTGATTTGAATAATAATATACAGTATATTGAGAAATCATAATATGTTTGTTTGTTATAATTTATTAAATAATCACATATTTCACAATCACATTCAAAAGTTAAAGAATAACGAGTTTCATTATGCTATATAAAAATTAAACTAAAAATTATCTGAATTAAAATATCTATATCTACTGTATATGTTATGGGTTTGATATCTTTTGAAACAATACATTCAAAGCATTCTAAGCAGATTCTATAAAAATATACAGTATAAATAAAACCTGTAATTAGTGTGATACAGTTAAAAGAATTCGAACGAATACAGATTCTTTTAATAGGTACAGGTTAATAATCAACAGGAATTAAAATAAGAGTGTCAAGCTTTCAAAGAAATATATCACGTGTCAAGCAGGCTAAAATAATGTGCTACACACGGCCGGAAAATCTTTGCATCATTTACGAGGGTCACAGAACTCAAATGCATCGGGTGCAGGTCGCCTGAATTTAATGCTTTTTTTGAGCTGTCGATTTTGTTTTTTATTTGTAATTTCAAAGGGCTCTTTAATTAATGCAACCTAAGTACGGTACAAGGCTGTCAATTTTACAGAAACTGGACGTTATATCTGTAACCATCATGCATGGAAGAAAGAAAGAAAGAAATGACATGGATTAATTTGTGCAGGGCACAATATGTACTGCAAATTTACTTACAATAATGAATACTATCTTAGATTGCATAATGACATAATATGAATAAAACAATATTGATAAATAAGGTAACATCTATAACTATTACAGCCTGATAAGGAATACATTTTTGAATTACCCTCATTGTAATGGATATTTTAATGTCTCTTATATTTCTGCCAATCAATATACAGCATACGTTCAAAAAAAAACCTATTCTCATTCGCATATATTGATTGGCTGATGGGTAAGTATTCTACAGGGATGTTATACACCGCGACATACGGTTGCACCTAATCACCTACATTCGCCAATATTTGTTATTTCTTAGGGCCCAAGGAAACTATAGAAAGGCCTTTAACAGTCTTATTCTCTTCCAGGAAATTTATCCCGAATTAGGGAAATCACTGCGTTCGACACTTCCTTACACATTTGTTTGTCAAGAGGACTCGAGGATCTCCAAACAATCTCGCGCACCTTACGGATAACATTATCATCGTTTACGTTTAATCTGATCGCCTCTTCTTTCACGTTAATGTTACAAATAACACGAGCAGTCATATTCTTTTTTTTGCAATCAAATTTGTATCGGTTGAAAATTACTTTGGCATCATTGATGATCGGCGGAAAGACGTTTTGGAGGTTGATGTTGTTAAGAAACCAAAGATGAGACTGTTGATTCATCGGTTCCATGGTAGAACGGTCAATGGTAAAAAGAAAGGGCTTTTATACCAATTATAACTAGAAGAAATGTCATATCGATTGTAAATTAAGAAAAAAGTGGATACCAATGGTAACCTAAAGGAATGGTGGAATAAAGGACCATGTATGTGTGTATGAAGGTATAAACAAAACGTGAAAAAATTCAGAAGGCTAAATTATCCGACACCGATCAAAGAAACCCATGAATAAAATTATCCATAGAGACCCTCTTGCCAAATGCAATAATCTGTATTATGATAATTACCTACATATCATTCCACGTTTATCACACGCCTCATTAAAAAAGAATAAATTAGCCTGTGGGTACTTTTTTTTTGTTCTTATTCATGCAGATATAAAACCATTGTCCGTGTACGTTAAACACGCATACCATCAATAAAACTGAATTTGACTGAACTTTTTTATCATTTTCCTTGAAGATCAAAAGAACCTTTTTTCGAATCCCAAGTCTCTCTACTTTGACTTGGTTTCTTATTTGCATGTACTTTGGGGTCACAAGTAATTCTTTGTTTGAGATTTCATTCACTATTTAATCTATCTTAAATAGTATTTTTGTCTGTTCACTTTCCTAAAACTAAGTAAATGGTGACTGGACTCGATGTCTTGCATCATTCACGGAGAGTTCTTTGAGGTTTTTTTTAGGATAACGGACGGTAATATATTGATTATACTTTACTGAGTCAAGATCAGATCATCAAGTTTCACCGATCAAATTGATTCTATTGGAGGAAAAAAAAATCATTGGTTTGGTTAATTATTCAAGTTTTTGTACTTGTATGAATTGTATATTGCATGTTTAATAAATAAACCAAACAAACAAATAAATGAGGAAAAAATTTTTCTGAAACAAATCGGGATGAGCCAAACTGATTTGCAATTGTTTTTTTTTTAAAAAAAAAAATGTATACAGTAGTTGAATTAACAATTCTGTACTATTTCTATATAAAATAATTGTTAAAATTCAAAACCAAAAAAATTAGTAAATCAACTAAAAAAAAAAAATGACACCTCACATTCGAATAAAATAATGTTTATATTATTTGTTTTTTTTTTAAAAAAAAATATTATTGTCTATATATTGAAACATGTTGATAAAACAATATCTCAATTATATAATTTATAATTTAACAAAAATTAATTCTATAAATATATACATACTATACAGTATATACAGCATATATTATTTCAATACAATATTTTAAATGCAAGCAATTTAATTTTGTAAAAATTTTATAAGATTTAATTAATAAATACTTTTTTTATATTTGATCTTAAAATCAAAACATTAAATTTTTATTTCATATTTAAATCTTTTTATTCTTTTTATACTGTAATCTCTTTTTTTAATAAAAAAATAATAGTAAAATTTTTAATTGATTTTTTTCATTTTTTACAATAAATATATTATATACCATATGTATAGTATAAATCAATAATTAATAAAATAAGATAAAAATTTATATACGTATAATTACAAATATAAAAACAAAATTTATTTAATAAAGTTTTTAAAATATATTATTATGATTTTCTTAAAATTGAATTTTTAAAAAATTGTCATTAAATAAAAATAGTCATAATAATAATATAATAATAATAATAATTTTATGTAATACAAAAAATTATTAAGAATATAAATTTTATATTAAATATAAGTTTTTTAAAATTTTAAAGATTTTTTAAAACTAATTTTAGATAATAAAAAAAAATCAATTTTAATAACATTTAATAAATATAGTAATAAATATTTTATAATTTTTTTTGTAAACTCAAAATTCTTATTTATTTTTATATTTAAGTTTTTTTAAAAAACATTTTCTATAGCAAAATTTCAATTTTCATCCATATTATATATTCATATTTATATATTAAATTTATGTTTTTTCAAAAATGTATTTTTGAAACTTGAAATCAATATTTTCAAATAGATTTATAAATTAAGTATTAATGAAACTTTTATATTTTATTAATAGATTATAATATATATATTTAAAGTTTTATTATAATTAATTATTGTTTATTAAATTATATTAAAAAAACTTAATTCAATTACTTTTAATCCATGTTATATACTGTATATATATGTGTAAATTTTATTTTCATTAATTAAATATTATAATTTGTATATAATTACTCAAATAAACATTTTGTAAAATTCTTAAAAATATATATTTAATATAATAATATACAATATACAAACTAATTAAAAATTAAAAAATATAAAAAATTTTTTATCTTCTTGATATTTTTTATATGAAATTATTTTAATCATCACTTTAATAAAATTGATTTTTTTTTGAAAATTTTTAAATTTTAAATAAATAAAAACATTGATATATTATATTACATACAAATAAATAAATAAAAATGATGTTTGCTTACTTAAAAATTAAATTTATTAATAAAGTTTATTATTGTATTCTATCTATTTTTATTTTATTTACAGTGTACTGATTAATTATTGTATATACAAAAAATCGATTTATATAATTTATTGATTTATTGTGTATAAACAAATATGTTTAAAATAAAAAATATATTTAATTTAAGTATAGGCATTATGTTGCAGTTTTAATTAAAACTTTGACATAATTAAACGGCGCATGATTAAAGCCCTTGCATATAAACTACTTAATATGAAAGTTTTAACTGCGCTATAATGCTTCTTATTGCCTTTTTTATCGTCTACAGTAAATATCAACTGTATTCTCTAAAATTGTAATATATATACTGTAATTACTCGTTTAAATTTTTGATATTGTTCACACTACCGTACTGTTTTGATACATTCATTTATAATATAATTGATAGAAAAAAAATAAATAAATAAAAGAAACATCCCATTGTACTGTGAGTATAATCTATGTCTAAAATATGGAATATCAATCGTTATTCCTGTAATTCTCTATGGTTCTTAACACAAGTGGTGCTACAAAACTTAAGATTCATTTTCTCAAATGGAACCAACCCGGAAAGGGACTTCTTACACATTGCACACGTGTTCATACCCAGTCTAGCTTCAGCAGCTCTTGCTCTTCTCTCTCTCTCTATTCTCATCCGCATTTCGGGTGATATACCCAACAAAGAATCTGTTGCACCTCCAAGTAATTTTTCCGACTTTGAAGAGGGATTACTCTTCGCAGCTAATTTAGCCGTCACACTCTCACTGTTTGTCTCGGAATCTTGTTGATTTTGCTCACCATCGGTTGATGATTCCTTTTCCTTTTTATTCGCATTTGCTTTTTTCTTTTTGGCGTTCGTTTTCTGTCTCTTTTCCTTCAATTTTCGCTGCTGTTCCTCCTCCATATCCTTAGTCAAAGGACTAGGCACGTGTGCAGAACTCCAGTCCCATTGATTTGGATTATTTGCCATATGTCTACGAAAGACATTGCGGGTCTCTTTATCCTTCGCCAAGTCATATGGTGTCATATTCTTCGACGACAAAATTGTAGGATCAGCGTTCTGAGTCAACAAATATTCAACGATATCGCCATGACCTGTAAATGATGACAGGTGAAGCAGAGTTGGCGTCTTGCTGATGTCATTCTCGGAAACGGAGGTGTTGGGAAGTAGGTTCAATGCATTAAGTGAATGCTTGGAAATATGATTTTTCAACAATTCTAATTTTCCCTGCTTTGTTAAGCTAATAAGTTTCAATATAACATCTGATACAGCCGGATCGAATTTTATGGTTTCGGCTGTCCGAATGGTCTCTTCCCCCTTCCCGTCGAGAGGAGGTTTATCTTTGATGGATCGTTGTATATTTTCCGATTTCTTTTCATGATTCTGGAGAGCCTCTTCAGTCATCTGCGAAATCTTGACGGTGGTAAGTTCAATAAAACATCTTTTCAACTCGTTGAATGTCTGAATTAAAGAGTTTTTTTTTTTTTCTATTAATTTAAGTACATGCATCAAATAACAAGGTTCACAATCTATATAATACTAACTGGTCGTCTGGTTGAAAATGGAAAGGATCGAATACGAGGATCGTCTATGTTGAATAAGTAGTTCAAGAAACTTTAAAATACGTCTGCCAATATTATTGAAGCCAATTTAAAAGTACCTTTTTTTAGTACCGCCTCATCATAGTTGTAAAGAATTTTTTTGTTAACACTCGTCGCACGCACGAACACGATTTCGCTCTGATCAATCATAGGCTTCCACTGATCGAGTAAGAGACGAATATCATTTTGCAGAGCAGCTTCGTTATATCGCCTTATGGTAGCACCTGCAGACTTTGCCTTTCCTTTTGCATTATCACTATTCGCCTGACTACCGCCTTGTTTTCTACGTGCTAGTGTAAGAATACAACATTAGACTCTCAGTGGGACCAAGTTTTCATGATCCAATCGTTCTTACTTGTATATCGGTGAAAAGTTTTATAGACAACGACTTTAACTTCTTTGGGATTTGTGACCCTTGAGTTCGAAGCTATATCCAAAACAAGCCCAGCGAAATGACCACCACCGATCATAATCATCGTCCAGTACCTTGGTTGTCCCTTCGATTTTGCTTGTAGCTTCTCAATATTCTCAATCGGGTTATCCTGATTATCACCCTTGCTATATAGAATGTTCTTGTAAACTCCGAGGTAAATCCCATCGAGCAGTATGTTAGAACTGGTAAACCATAAAATTGGAACCGAATTCCTTGCGCCTCCTTTAACGGACACTTCTTTTCCGTGAATATTGTGAAGTTCAAATTCTTCCGCAAGGGTCGCGATGTTTTCACTCTGGGAGGACGAATCAGATTCCGAAGTCTCGGATCCAGAAATGCTTGATAAAGCATCTAGAAGTGAAATCTAAGAATCAACAAATATTCTTTTCTTCAACGATAATGTTACCAGAACTTCAATGCCTACCACCCGTGAACTCTTCAAACTCTTGTTCCGTAACGGGAACATAGATTGTCTTTCCGGCATTAATGTTCATCGAACGGCGTTTAACGTTAAATCGATGCCAGTCCAGCGCAAAGTGTGCTCTTTGTTGTTCTACAGTGTCAAAAGACGAAATACCACAAGCCAAACATGTTGGCCTAAGAGGCTCACGCTCGTTGGTTACATCGTTTTTATTTTGATCAAGATTTAATTGAGGTAAAGAATCTACCTTGCGGGATGCAAGTGTGGAAAGAGTGGCCGTCGGTAAGGAAAGAATATTTACCGGACGCGCGAGAATGGTTTCAAAATTCATATTTTTATAATATCTGACTTTTTTTTTTTTTCTTTCTGTGGACCGAGAACGCAGTTTTCCGTTTACACAGTCCTAACCGAAGAACTTTTATATTCTAAAACACGTGACTGACGCGTAGCAGCACACAAGTAGATGTTTTACAAATGGAAATGATTAACACAATACAATTAGCTGCGCGCGCAGTACTGTAGTATGCGGCGCATATTACTAGGAGAAATTTCTTATTTAAGTTACAGGGTCATTATTAATAACAAAAATGGGTTTTTTTAAGTGACTCAAATACAGTATGTATAACTTTTCAAGAGAGTTCAAAACCGGTGTTTGAATTGATGGCTATACATTAAAAAAAAAAAAATAATCTATATTTAGGAACTCTCCAGCGAGTTTGAACTGAAAAAGGAAATCAATCTTACCGTATTTCAACTTCTCTCTCATGATAGATTTTGAAGAATAAGCTAAAGTTGATATTTTACAAAAAGACAAAAACGATAACGTGCAATGAGAAAATGGATGAGAACGAGTAAATACGAAAGAAATATATTGAAATCACATTCAATTACCTGGAAGCTTTAGGAGGTTAAAGCTAAAACGTAAAAGATAATGTTATACATTGCACTTCGAATTTATATAATTCCAAGAAACCTTTAGGGTGCTTACCATGTGGAGCTTGTTGGTAATCTTCCTTTCGATGCAGACCTGGAGTTTCCAATATTGAAGAAGGCCTTGACTGGTTCGAGAACAGCCCTGGATTCGTGGCTTTGTTCATGCTCCAACGACACCAGGCGGACAGTGAACTGTGGTTGTAAAAATCTAAATTCATTCGATCATATCAAAAAGTTCACTATCAGGAAGATTCATGTTGACCCAGTCTAATTTAACTAACTTACCTGAAACCCCCAAGCGGCGGCTAAATTTACGTCGTATGAATGATTAATTAATATACAGTATATTCGAAAATCAACCTACTGACTCATGAAGAAATTACCTTTGAACAGCTTGTGACAAATTTCAAGAATGCCCTCCTGTCTTTGGAATCAAAATCTTCCAGTATTGACCAAAGATTTTTAATGCACCTATGTTGGTCAAAATATCCATCTTGATACACTGCGCATTTACGCAAGTCTGAAGGTTCTATAATTGACCAAATCGGTTAAGTTATTCGTCAAAAATAACACAATAACAACTTGGTACACACCCCAATCAACATCTTCGCCCGAGATCACTCTGTTCAATGAAAAAATACAACTTCATCAGTTATAATGTTTGACTCAACGATCTACCAGAGGATAGATAATAACCGTTGTAGCTCCGGAGGCGAAAACATTCTCAACCAATTTTCCGGAATTACAGACTGAAACCTAAAAGAAACGAAATTAACATGTGATAAACCATATTCTAAAAAGGTTTTCAGGAAATCGACATACCCGTCTATGAAGGCTTTTGTTTGTTCCTTGTTTTGTTTATTTAACCGATAATCCGCCATCAAATATAAATACTATATGTAAAAGAATAGGCGCCTCGTCTTAACTCGACCCGATAGCATCAAACAAAATTGTACATTAATAAAGATAAACCTACCTGAATTCTATTTTCGTTGGTTACCATCATGTGTGAACCACCCTGTGAAATGAAATAAAAATATGTTAATTACGAATATTGTATCAAAAAAAAAAAAAAGCTTAAATAAAAATGTCAATAATTATTTGATAATGACCGGTCTAAGTTCTTTGGTTATGATTCTTCCATTGATCTCTTCATCTATGGCGAAATATAGTCCCAAGTCTTCCACATTACCTATATACGAGCTGTTTTGTGAAGCCGAAAATTCTAGAAAACTTTAAAGGGACACGTCGCATCTAAATATATACAAACCATCATATCTCTTCAAGAACATCAAGTTCTTCCATAATTCATTATTCAATCCGATCAGATCTTCTAAAAATACCGCTCTTCCGGATAACTTACTCAAGAAGAACTCGGCAAACTGAACGTCGCACAAAATTCCCTCTTGCACAGCTCTTGCTATCATTCGTCCTAAGAATGAGTATAATGATAGCTTTGTGGATGTACCGTGAGGATTGGGATACAAAGAATTATTCGAGGTAGAAGAAAATAGATCACGCTTTGGATCAAACGCTGAAATTTAATAATAGCATGAAACCTTGTTTTTAAAAATTTCGAGTTAAACTTCGCGATAAGCTTTTTTGACTACCTTCAGCAATCAACTGTGTAATAAATTCTTTGAAGGGACCGCCTTGATCCACGCCAGCCTCGTCCACTCCTGATAAACAACGAAATTCGGTTTTGACACTTATTCTTTTAACGCACACGTGTCAAATGCTCATTCATATATAGCACGGTACAGTACATACCAGTCTCGTTAATGAATTTTACTCGAATTGCACCTTTCGTACGAACCGCCGTCAACCCTCCCAAATGTTTATACCCATCCTCCAATACATAATTTCTTCGGACCGTGATAAATACATCGTTATTGGACGTAACACTATTTTGCAAAAATCCACGAAATATTTCAAGCCTGGTCTCAAAAGGAATTGTGTGGGGCAATAAATTCAAGATCCTAAGAGAGATAGGTTCATTAACGCGAATTCTTTCCAAAAAGGAAGTTCCCAACGTGTTATTGTTACTATCTTTTGATTTCTTGAAAAAGTTGGCGAACGACACAGGTAAAGACTTCTTCGGATCTTTAATGAGCAACCAGGTGTTGTCGGATCCGATGAATGAACGTCGGGTATCACGAGAATGCAATTGCAGCAGAACCCTTCGTGCAGATTCGAATATAGCGGGAGGATAATTGTCAGGAGACGAATGACTAAGGAGAGCGAAGCAAAATTTATTAAAAAATGTAGCCATGGGAATCAAGTCATTTTCTATTGTGAAGGTTGTTTGCATTTCGTATAATTCTTCATCATCCAAGGTTCTGCGATTGACATGAACAAATTGTATAATGTGGGAATATCGTTAGCCTAAAATTTGGTAAAAGTTGACTTCTTTGGAATAACCCTTTATGCGCATAATACTAACAGTAATGATATGTCGCAACACTCGCAGAATAAACCCAGTATCTCGATCAGTGGTTCTCTTTCCGGTTCTTTAACCACTGCGTCTGTCAAAAATATTTTCATTCGGCCTTTAGGACCCAAACACATCATGAACTTCCACAAACTAGGCACAAAACCTGGCAAAAAAGTCAAGTTCATCATGATATCGTGTTTCTGGACGCCTAATAGTTTTGAAAGCATAACATACAATTTACACAATATCTGCGTCTCGACTGCCAGCAGAGTTGTTTGGCTAGATGTCAGGCTCGATTTCTTGTCCATGAACGTGGATTTGGATATGCTGGGACCAACATTATCGTGTGGCATTAGCCTAAAGTTCAAAATATGATCAAATGCACCAAGCAATAATTGTCTTTGCCAGAGGAATTCAAGTTGATTGATTAATTTATTGAAATGTGACGCAGGGATGTTTGGGTCCGTATTTCCTGAATACCACATAAAAATAGGATGGTATTGATAATGCGTATTCGACTGCTTCGTGGACACGAACTTTTGACAATGTTGCAGTAGGTTTATAACGGACTGTATGAAATTCTGAAATTTTATTGAACCAGGTTGAACAACGAAATATCTCTTGTCATCTTTTGTTGGATTGTGATTTGATAAGTGGACAGTTAAGTTTGTCTTCTGCCTAATCTCATTTTTACGAAGGGAAATGATATCTATCCTTGACATAAGTTCTGTTAGATTTCCCAGTAGGAACACCGTGTCATTTCCGCTCATGGAACTTAATATTTTCTTCGAACTTTCGGTGCCACATAGTGCGTGAATCATCCTTGACGAAATGTGATATTGCCGGATCATACCCATGCAGATATCGTCGAAGCACGATACCAGGCATGGTATTGACAGAACACGACTGATAAATTTACCAAAGGTTCCACTTAAAGGAGTTGACTGTTCAATACATTCCTCCTCATCATCACTAAAGTTCAATACAAATAAACAACATCGAAGGCATGCCGTCAACCATAGTTGTGTCGATTTCAACTTCTTCTCGTCATCAGCCGCCAATTTAATCTTTGTCGATCTTGATTTGAAAGATAATATCGAATTTGCTCTAAGAATCATCCCATTCCTGATCTGTTCATAAAAACCTTGGTCTACTATATAACTACGAAAGGTTGACAAGTGCTGATCCAGAGGTGTGGATTTTCCCTTTATAACATAATTTTTGGGATCTAGAAAGTAAATCAAAAGTATCAGCTCTGATCCAGATAGATATAAAATGGGGCTCGAAGGTACACCGGTGTTATTGTGAGAATGTCCAGTTACATAAACAACACACTGCCAAAGAATTTTCTTCATCAATTTCTGAGTCGAAGCCATGTAACATTTACTTAATAGCAATGAGTGAAACGGTATTATTGCTTGCTGAGTATTCTGCTTTGTCGTCGACGTAGAATTGGTGGTGGACAATATCATCCTGCAGAGATGAGAGAATCGAGTTTTGTCGGTTGGATCATTGGGCTTAAAGAAAGCAAAGAACAGTAACGTAAGACCAAGGATTTCTACTGAGGATGTTATGGGTTGACGTTGTCCATTATCATTGGAAGCGAAACCTGAGTCGATGTCCCACAATTTTCGCAATTGATTGGTATTTTTCTTCCTATTAACATGCTTTCGATAAGCGGATTGTATGACTACTGCTGCTTGTGATCTGATTTCATCTTGTTTTTGCTTAATGCGTTGTCGTTCTCGCTGTTCCCGTTCTTCTCGAGCTTTATCAGCAAATGATTTCTTTTTTTCATTTTGACCATTAAAAGGAAACATTGTATGTATGATCTGTGTCCAAATGCAGTCTGTTAGAATAACGTTACCGCGCAAAATCTGATTGGCCATCACAAAGTGCCTTGCTGATCTTAATGGTTTATGTAATACAAATGCGAAGAATAAGAACGCCTCGTCTTTTACCTGTTTTGGTCCGGGAATTTTTTTAATCAATGTTCCATTAATTATTCATATATGGTAATTAAGTTTTTTTTTTTAAAGAAAAAAAAATTCGATATAATAACTATGAAACAAACAAACAAATAATATACTGTATATGAAGTGATATAAACCTTTTTAAATTTTTATTTATATTAAAATAAAACTTGAAATCTAAAAAAACTGCATATGATGTTATTATGTTTTTATACCTAAAAATTTATCTTTATTGTTATTATTATTACTATTGATTTTTGATAACTTAAATAAAATATCAAAGTTTATAACTTTGTAAATTAAATTTACCGTAATACTGGTTATAATAATTTAAAATATATACTATATATTGATAGTAAATATAAAAAATATGTTTAAAAATACAGTATTTTAGATCTAACTTCATATAATAATTTTTTTTCTTTTATACTAAATTATAAAATATTTTTTTCATAACATTTAAAATTATTTAACTAAAAAGTTACTTCTTATATATTTCTTAAAAATTTATACAATATTAGTTTTAATTATATATTATTTATTAATAGTATTTGTTTTTATTTATTTAATAAAAATTTAAAGTTAACTCTTTTTACAAAAATCAAAATTCTTAAAAATTGCTTTTTTTGGTAATTTTAAGAACATATATAAATAAATATTATCTGAATCCCAAAGAAATCCAAAGATCCAACAAACACAAATTAATTATCAATAAAGATATCACATCTATTAAATCTTTTTTTTGTAATTAATACTTCTTTGCTTGTTTATTTTTTTAGACAGAACAAAATTTATTACAAGAAAAAGAAAAGAAAAGGTATATAACTCACAATAAGTTTAAAGAAAAAGTCAATATTAATTTTTTTAGCTTTTAACTAGTTGTATACAAGATTTTACACTTCTTTAGATACCAAAAAAAATTTTGTTAATCAGATTCTACCTGATAAATTAAGCAATCTCAATACTAAACAAAAAAACAAAAAGATGTCAAACTTTCTTTAAAGGAATTTTGATCAAAAGAATTCAAAAAACAAACAAATAACAAATTCAATTATATTAATTATTCAAGTTATATAAAAAAAATCTTTCTGGTTTGGAAAAATCAAAATCAGTTTACTTTTATCAAGTAATTTATATTACAAACCAAAGTATAAACACATTAATAATATAAGCAAGTTAACAATATTAACATAGCAACATTAACAATACAATCATATCAATAATATAAATAAATCAACATCACTATTATATTAGCATGTCAACAATATAAACATGGCAATATCTTTTTAATAACAAATACATCAATAATCTATCAACAATACAAACACATTAGCAATCCACTATTATCTAAATATATCAATAATCTAATATCATTATAGATACGTTAACAATCATTATTACTATTAACATGTTAACAACCTGTCAAAAACATAAATGCATCAATACAAATATATTAATACAAATATATTAATAAATATATTTGCAATTTATTATTAACATAACACATTAGAAAAACATTATCATATATATTATTCATCTTTTTCATATTTCACAAAATATTACAAACCAATTCTTCCAATTCCTAGTCAATACTTCAACTAATTTACTTCAAATCCTATTAATATTCAAATCTCACTATATATCAAACAACACAACTCTACTAAATTATTCTTATAAAAAACAAAAAACAACTTTTTGCATTAATATACATGAACAAGAATAACAATATAGTCATTACAAAACTTATCAACTTCATTACTACTTCATTACTATCAAACTACTTTTCTAAATAGTTTATCTCTATACAAAATTTAACATATCACAACTCTTCAAACCTCTCTGTAATTCAAATTGGCTTTTCAATCAAAAATCAAAATAGCTTTTAAATTCAAGTTATTATTTCAAAAGTCAAACTTGTTATTTACTTGGATAAGTTCTTAAGTTTTCAGAATTTCTTTTGAAAAATCTTCTTGAATAATAAGTATTTTAGAAAAGTAGTCTTAAATAGTGTATTCAACAAAGGCTAGAACTATTTCAAACACATCTCTTGGAATATGGTCAATATTGAAAGAAAAGTCAATAGAAAAAATGAATTATATAACTTAAAAGCAAATTCTTTACTTTAATACTTTTTCTCAAACATCTTTTTCAACTGTATTTCATTAACTGAAAATTTATTCTTATCAGATTTGAATAAAAAACTAAATTATTAAGGAGGTACTAATTTCTAATTTAGTAAATAGTTATTTTTAAAATTTTACTGAATTAAAGTTTTTATAGAATATATTTATATATAGACAGATCAATATTTATAACAACATATCTCAATATATTATCATTGTTATAAACTTTATATTAAGACTTTTTGTAAAAATTAAATTAACAATTAATAAAAATCACAATTTGAGAAATGCTTTATAAAAAAAAAACTTATAATAAATTTAATATTAATTTAATACTAAAATAATATTATTAGAAACTCTTGTTATTATATTGTCTTAATATAATAAATTTATGACTTAAAAGTTAATATATATAATTAAAGATCTTAATAATACTATTTTAATATCAAATCAGTATTGGATTTATTATAAATTTAATATAGTAAGTTATAACCCATATATTAAATTTGTTATAAGTTAATACTATTAATAAACTTTTTAAAAATTTTATTAACTTTAGATAAATACTATTATATATTATTAATATTTATCAAAAATCATTATTTTTTATATATATTATTTTCTTTTTTTCTTTAAAAATTTTCAAAATGTCTATATAATTTAAAATAATACAACAAATTCAAAGCATTATAATTCAAAAACTTAATTGTAAAACTTTTTTGAAATTTTAAGTTACTATTTGCAAAAAGATTAAAGAAATAATTTTTGTTATTAAAAAATGATATTTTATATAATTTTGCTTTTTTTCTTATAGATATGAATTTTCATTAATGATTATTCTAAGTATAACAAATAATTTTCTAGTCAATATTTTGTATAAATAAAGGAATTATATATAAATAATTAGATTAAAAACAACCTATAATTGATTAAAACATTATAAAAAAACTATAATTTCCTTTAGTTATAAAAAAGAAAAAAAAAGAATAACTATAATAATTATATAATTTTGAATTTTTGTAATTTTTTTTTATAATAACTGATATACAGTAGGCACAAAAAAGATCTGGACTTTTATTTCATTACACAAAAAATGTGATAATAACTGAATTCTGGATAAGTACATTTTTGTAATGAGTTATTTATATTAAATGACTCATGCACACTGGTTTATATAAATAACTTATTATTTTAAGCTGCCAAATTAATATTGGATGCAAAAAATGTCATTCAATACTGATCTCGCTATGCAAAGAACAGTCATAAGGCAGTTATGGAATAATGGTATAAGGAAACCTGCTGAAATCATATGAATTACAGGTTTTCCAAAGAGCACAACATATAATCATATAAATCAACTCAAAAAAAGTGGCACCCTTGTCTCACTTCCTATTTCTAGAAGACCCAAAATTCTTACAGTGAAAAAGTGTCATTATCTCAGGCAACTCATATAAGCCAATAATGAAAATTTTGTTCAACAGTTGAAAAAACTTTCTAGCGATCACTTTTTTGGCTTATAACTCTATTTTTTCTCAATTGAATTATCAATTTGAATTATGTTAACATCAAGTAGAATAATGAAATTTATTTGTGTTATATAGAGTTTGCCATATCAGTTTGAAGAAATTGATTAATTAAATACAATGTTATTCCAGAAGTCATTTAACTTAAATAGGAGGTGGTGCTATAAAGTTTGTTATACCAATTGGAGTTGTGAACTTATACCAGAGTTAAATCAAAAGTCTTTTCTTATACAATTGTAAAAAAGTATATTTCTTATTTTAAAAATATTAAATTTTTTAAATAATAATTATTATTTTTAAAAATATCTATTATTTTTACATTTATTTTTTATTTAATAATATAAAAATTGCCTCAATCAAAATCTTTTTCTTGACATATAAATTTTGAGTTATTAAAAAGTTATATATCTCTTAAACAAATTACTACAATTGCATAATCTAAAAAATTAATATTGGTATAAACAAACTTGTTATATTTTCAAACTCTTTCTGCTGATCCTTTTGCCAACCCAAAAAACAGACGTTCTCAAAAAACTTTTTGTTTTTATGATAACAAAGTCTATACACTTTCCTTAACAACACTGGTTCCTTAACCAGCAGAGCGAGCAGAAGCTACCACTTGTTTTATTTT